TCTTAAAAACTTAAATTTAAATTATTAATAATGATTAATCTCTATACTTATTTCATTTTTAACTATATATAAAATTATTATAACAATCAACAACAGATGTTTTTCTAAAATTTTCAAAAAATTACCCAATAAAATTTTTTAAAACCCTCAATATATAAATTGTCAATGAGTATTAAATATATTAAGTATTCAATGATGACTTGACCTTTATTTTTTTTTTTTTCTATATCTATTGTCTGATAATGAGTTAATTATAAAACCATGGTAACTCTCTTCCTTTCTCAAATCTAATACCAATTTTAGAATTCAAAATTCAAATATACAACATAAAAATATAGATACCTTTTTGACCTTTGGGCTTAAATCAGGTGTATAATATGGAAATATAAGTTATTAGCCATTCGGACATATATATCATACAACCTAGGGGACGCTGGGATTTACTTACAGTATTATAATTTTTTTCCACCCATACTATTATTCAAAACTATCTAAATTTCATTTGACAATATTTTTTTATAGACTTTTTTACATAATACTTTATTTAAAAATATAGAATTTTAATTATTTTTAATTAATTTTAATATATTTTTTAAAATAAAAATAAAAATATATAAATATAATGATAGGATACTATACATGTAAAACTCTGTATTAAACTCTCAAACTTACTTTAAATTATTAATTAAACCTCTAAATTTTTATTAAAATAAATAAGTGCTTAAATTTGTCGAATTAAGCAATTTAGTCCTTTTTATTAAAACAAATATATCATTTCTATATGCTTTATTTATATGAATAAAGTCAATAATTATGATAGAAACAATAATATATCAATATTTTATTGATATAAACGATACAAAAATAAGTGTTAATTATATAATAAATAAATTAAATTATTTAAATTATCAAATTTAAGAACTTATTTATTTAAATAAAAATTAAAAATTTTAACTAAAAATTTGAGATAAATATAACTACTTAACTTAAGGTTTTGCCTACGAAGTAAAATCTTAATCGGAAGGGAAACTATAAAAAATAAAAAATAAAAAAAAACATAAAAGTAATTAATAAAAAAGAAAAGCAAATGAAGCGTGACGTGGACTTCATTGGGACCCCGAGCCCGCAAGGACGGCCCAGATTCTCTTGTCCCTCCGTCCGTCGCATTTATCTTCTCCCTTCCCCAGTCTCCATCCCCCCACTCTCTTCCCCTTACACTCCACTCCCCAGAACTCCCAATCATGCTGCTGGGGAAGCGCCCGCGCCCTCCGATCAGGCGGACCACGAGCACGACCGGACTCACCGTCGATCTGTCCGACGTCGAGGCCACCAATCAGCCGTCCGATGTCCACCCCATGCAAGCAACCCCGCTCGCTCCTGGAGATGGACAGCCACCTGTAAATCTCAACTCTGGTTACGATCAGCAGTTCCACGCCATGGTCTCGCCCAGAGAGTATAGAGGCGGTTCCTCTGATTTTACGGAGACCCCTCATTTTCTAAGGTCCTGTGGCCTCTGTAAACGACGGTTGGCCCCTTCCCGAGACATTTACATGTATAGGTACGTTTAATATACTAGGCTAGACTAATTTTTTTTCAAATAAATAAATAAATACCCAGTTTCTTTTTTGGGTTCTTTAGATCTATACTGGTTTTATTTTTTATTTTTCAACAACATTTTATTTAAAAATTACTCTTCTAATCTTATAGTTACTTGCAAGTTTCGTCATTTACACGTATTTGAAATCGTTTTTAATGAAATGACGTTGAAAAGATTCAAACTATATTTTGAATATTAGATCAATAATTGAATATATTCTCAAGAATTTCGAAAGATTTAAGGAAGTTGAGGTGTCAGACATCTTTTTCTTGTTATTGATGATGAATTGGTGACGTTATTTTAACGCTGGATTTGTTTTTATTTTAGAGGGGATACGGCGTTTTGTAGTTTAGAGTGCAGGGAGAAACAGATGAAGCAGGACGAAAGTAAAGAGAAGACGAGGGTTGTAGCTTCTAACTCCGGCTCCGAAGCTTCTTCGACTAAAAGCCAGACGGTGGCTGCTGGTTGAGGATATATATGAGAAGAAATTTAATTAGGAAAATTAACTTTATCATGAATAGGCTGCCTAGAGAGAGGGATAAATATGAAAAAGAAAAAAAGAAACTTGTGCGAATTGTATATTTATATATGTCATCATCGTATCTCTCATGCAATTTTAATGCCCACTAATGTTTAACATCATAGGCTGCTTGGTGATGGCGGCCAAAAAAACCAATGTTGTGTTAATGGAATATGTTGTAAGAAAATTGTAAACGACTATTTTTTGGTCCTCCAAAAACTAAATACTTTA